GAAGCATTACAATACCCTACCAAAAATGTCTTATTGAATAATTTTTTGTCACTCCTGGTCTACACTAGGACTAGGTGACACTTAAAAATTCCACTCAGGACCTTCCCGGTGGCGCAGTGGTTGAGCGCTGGGTTGCGAAGCTGCCTGCAGCCTTTGCAGCACCTGTTTGATCCCCGGCTGCCAGCGAGGATCCCACATGGCATGACAGACCTCTCCTGCCATGCCTGCTGCTACCCTCAGCAGTGTATTTCATCAGTCTGCCTGTTGTGTTCCCCACTCTGGCTCTGGTGAATTCTCTCACCCTCCCACATTTCTGACTGTACCCAGTGCTTGTAAATATAAATAAATAAATCTTAAAAAAAATTCCACTCAGTGGAATTTATACTATAGCTGTATCCAAAACAAATGGTGACAATATAACCTGAGAAATAAGAAAGGGACAGAAAATTCAGTACCAAGGACAGTGCCACAACCAATAGGACTACCTTTGCTATCTGCAATCAAGCATCAATGCGTAAATGTGTTATTACTAATCTGATCAACATTCCCAACATGAATGCCTGTGAATAGGTCACATGCCATGAAAACACCAACAAGGTCTTTAAGCACCTTATAATGTACACCATCCTTTGGATTCTCCATAGTGTTAATAGGATGGAATAAAAACATACATAGATTATGTATAATCCATCAATATAATGCTTTAAACATGTCTTTACTATCATGCTAATACTGATCAACATTTAATGGGTATCCATTCTTAAATCTAATTATTAATTGCTTGACATATCATTTTACTTGTTTGTTTGTTTGTTTGTTTAGCCTCTCCCCTACTGGAATATAAATGCTGCAAGGCAGGGATTTCCTTTCCTTTTTTTAAATTTTTTAAGGATTTATTTATTTATGCATACAAGAGCTAGGGCACAGGCCAAAGATGCAGGGGGTGAGAGGATTCACCAGAGACAGAGAGGGGAACAGAACAGGCAGACTGACTGAAATACACTGCTGAGGGGAGCAGTGGGCAAGACAGGAGAGGTCTGCTGCGCCATGTGGGTTGCTCCCTGGCTGGCCAGGGATTGAACTGGTATTTCAGAGGCCATGGATTGCTTCATAGTGTGGTACTTAACCCCTTGCACCACCAGGGAGGCCCAGGGCAGGGATTTCTTGTCCATTTGGCTTTCTGTTTTAATCCCAGTACTTAGAAGTGTATTTTTGACATATGACATATACTTCCTAATGTTTACTTAATTAATTGATCAATCATATGAAACTCTTTCAATTGTTTACTTAAAGCTAGACAACTTCACAGATTTTGTGTGCAGGAAGTCTGATATAAAGGCTGACTATTTAGCTACTCTGTTCAGCTCTAGGAACCATTCTTAACATCTATACTTGAAGGTATCCGGACTCTCAAAATTTCTTACTCAGTTCTGACTTGCACATGGGGTTGGAAATAATGAAATTGAATGATAGTAAATATTGCAAATTCACTCACAATCATTCTGAAACAACTAGCCATTTTTGCTTTCCTTTGTTTTAGTTTGATATAACTTTGCTTCATCCTTTGTTTATAAAATTTTAGAGAGATGAATTTACTGAATTCTGATGTTTAGTTAACCCAAGATATTTTTTACCCTTTTATAAGGGGAGCAAAGCACCACTTTAAAAAAAAAATTGAGTCTACTGATTTTGTTCATGGCTTATTTTATAGTTGCTGTTTTTCTTGGCTTCTCCCCCTACCCTGTTTTTTTCAGGCTTTTTATGATAGATTGGAAGGTTGCCTTTATGTTAACCAAAATAAGGGACCAGGAAAAAGACTAATAAATACAAAGTAAAGATCAAAATCAACAAGCAACTATAAACCAGAGACACACTACGGGGGTGGGGGTGGGGAGAGGAAGGACTAGGGTCAAAATAAGGAGGGGTGCAATTGTATGGGGAATATAACCAAAATAAAAATGCATACATTGTGCAAAAATGAAAAATGATGTAAGAATTATATAAAATAAAATATTAAAAAAAGCATGCTTTTAAAAATTGTCAAGATCAAAAATAAAATAGTTTTGTATTCCATCCTGTCTAAAGCAAGAAAATTAACAGGTTTGTATTTACATTCATCAATCCTCTCATTCTCAGTTGTTTTTTTTTTTTGACTAAAAAGGAGAATTTTAAACCTAGATCATAATGGGTTTTTTTAATATTATACATCTTCTAAGTAATTTTTTATATTAACCTCTTTTGTAATACATTTAGATCAATTATTTAGCATTAACACTATGTTTAAATTAGTTTCCATCCTCATGATGGGTCTTTTTATTTCTCTGTTTTTGATTTCTTCATTTTGATTCATTGCTCGGTCAATTGCTCTTTGAATGATTTATTAGCAGCAGGGCATGTGTGAGCCCCAAGGTACTGAGAATGTCTTTCTGATGTGTTTGCACAAGAACAACAACTTGGCTGATAAGGAATTTGTGGGTTATAACATTTTCTTCTCAAAAATCCTCCAGGCTTAACTGCATTGTCTGCTGCCCTTTATGATATGGAAAAATCTAAGAGGGACCAGGCGGAGGCTGTTAGGCTAAGAATGGCTTTTCTGCTCCTATGACCCTTCCACCTAATTCTTTTCAGTAAAACGTAATACTAAACATAATAATTTGAAGCAGTGTGTGGTTTTTCTTTTGCCACAAAAATACAACACTCCAAGTGCCGCCCCCCCCCCCAGTTTTTCCTCTGTTCTTGTGAGATGAGACCAACTATACCCTCCAGACACCTGGCATAAACACCCATCCAATTCCATTCCTGTTTATGTCTCATTCTTGCACATTTTAGTTTCAAATTGGAAGCACACATGAAATGGAATTGAAGGCATAAGTAATTAAATGGCCTGTTCCTCTTGGAAGCAGTAACAGGAGCTGCTTCCTAGGTGTGTCCACTTCAGAGTGGGATCATTTTTCCCCCAATGGCTAAACCCCATTTCTTAAGGAGGCAGACTATTAAGTGATGTTTGGGGAGAAAAACCTCCCATGCTTCTCCTGCCTCACCTGCTATTGTGCTTGGGGATAAACATGCTCAGTTTGGGGAAATTCCTTTGGGGTCCACTTGCTAGTTTCTTGGGTTCTATGGACAAGGTCTCTTGTTGAGTTCTTATGAGGACCTTAGTAGGAATGTGATAGTGAGGGAGTGCAGTTACCACTCCTTTTCACAGCATGGAAACCTAACAGCACTACTTGATATGTTGCCAAGAGCAGAGAAAGCCACATCTTCTCAGAGAAAAGTTTTAAACCAATAAACTGGCTCATTTGGGGTACAGAGAACCAGGAACAAGATGGGGCTCCAGATGCTTAGCCCATCTTTATGTCTTCCTCCTCAGTACATCAGTGTTTCTTGCAGAGGGAAGACCAGATGGACAGGTGGAAGGCAGCCTGGCAGTTTCTCCTTGCAGTTTTATATTGTCTGTAAGAAGTATTGCTTGAACCAGTAATACATGCAGCACTGAAATACCAATGTGGAATTTAAATGGGTCTATGGACATTTTAAATGTTAATTAGTTCCTCCATCCAGGTTTCTCACAAGATAATGACAGCCACTATCAGACTAAACTCCCTATCTTGGCCACCCAAAGCCTATGTGGACAGGCCACTGTCCACATCCTTTACCAAGTTCTGCTTTTGTCTCAATTTTCCCTTCTCCAGTGAGCTTCTTACCACTCCAGATACACTGTGGAACATGGAAAGGCCCGATCCCTTCTGTTTGTATAAGTTCTTGCAGGGTATACACTATAACCTGGTGAGCTACAGGACCTAATAAGCATTGCCAGTAGTTATTATATCATTGCTGAATGAAATATAGTAACTTGGAATATCACCACAAAAACATCCAGATGGAAAATACTTGTGTGATAAGAGGAACTAAAAGATATCTAGCTTGCAAAAAAAAAAAAAGAAGACTGGATGAGAATAAGTTCATGTACAGGGGATGAGTATGCTAAAGAAGATCTTATGTAATGGAAGGAATGCCACCTGAGCAAATGATAACATCAGTTCGCTTAGGCCCTAAGACTTTCTACCAAGGGCACTGGGTATAAGCTATAATAAGCATATATATGTCAGTACAATAAAAACTTTCTTACGGTCACTGACCCCCGCTATATCCCCCAAGATTGGCAAAATTACCACAGAAAGATTTATGGCATTACACCTGAGGGGAGAGATCAAATATTGTAAAAAAACAAAACAAAACAAAAAAAACCCAACAATGTAAGAAAATAAAAAAGTTTAAAAAAAGATCAAAGTTCTCTGTTCCTAGAGGTATTCGAGGAAAAAACACCAACACTGGTGGCCTTTGACGTTATACTGTTGACCAATGCACTGTTTGGTGGTTGTAGGCAAAGGGAAGGAAGTATTGCATGACTCTTTCAGAATCTTTCTAGTCCTGTGATTTTGCCACGAGTGGCAGCCTTTCTGTACCAAAGAAATACTTGACACACAAAAAGGTTTCCTTGTCATTTGGAGAAAAAATATTTTCTAAGGTGACTAATGGTAACACTAAAGGAGTTAGTATTCAATTCACTGATTAGCTAAATCTTGCATGGTGCACTCATACATATACAATTGATAGGTATTATTTTATAGATGCAGACATTATGTGATTTTTACAAATGAAACAACTTTTCTATCTCTAACACAGTGATATTTTAACTTTTTCTGTAAAAGCAATATAACAAATATTTTTGGTCTATGGGGCATAGTGTTTCTGTCTCAACTACTCAATTCAAAGCAGCCATAGGGTAAGTAAATAGACATCACTCTATATAAAAAAAAAAAAACAAAAAAAAACCCAACACTCTTTTTTACACGAAAAAGGAGGAAAAAAAGCATGAGGTTGGATTTGGTCCATGAACCTTACTTTGCCAACCTCTGCTCTAAAGTCATGCTACTATCTCATTTGAGTACAGGCAAACACAAACAAGGTAAGAAATGGCCTCATGTGGTCATACTTACTCCATTTGCTTTGCTGAGTGCCTGGAAGTAGATGCTGTAGCTTTTGAGAGGAGAAAGAGGAGGGTTCCAGTAGCCATTGTATGTCTTATTGTCACCCACTGTAAATGGCTGAGTGACAGGAAGGTTGGCGGGCTTCAACTCGGCAGCAAAGTAGTGTAGAGAATCAAGGTTGGAGGCATTCCTGTAGCTCACAGGCACCGAAAAACACTCAATGATGTCAGCTGCCCTTCGTGATTTCTGAAGTCGCTCTTCTTTCACAACCAGCTGATAAACACTAGACAGGAGGTAAGCAAGGCAGATAAGTAACTTATTAGCTGTCATCTTCACTGCGGTCTACAACTGACCCTCCCTTCCAAGTTGCAGGCTTCTGAACCAATGCTGTATGAAATCTGTCTCCATGTAGATGTCTCAAAGCCAGTTCACAATGAAAATATCCAAAAACGCAATTCAGTCCCAATTCCTACAAACACTGTTGCTCCTCCTTCTACATTTCTTTCCTTGTGAAGGGTAGCACTTCCCAACAAGTGAATCTGGGGCTTGTCCTCAGTTGCTACCTACTTAGTTCTTACTGTGTACTTCTAGTCAATAATCTCTGACTTGACCTCCCATCTCCTACTCACACTGCTCAAATTGGGCTCTTTCTCAACTCTTCCTTGGACTCAACTGATCACTTTCTTCTAGTCTATTTAATCAATTAACCAGTCAACCATTGCTCTTCCTAATCATTAACACTTCCTTTCAAACACTTCCATAGGCTGTGCATTATCCCAATTTTACAACCTAAACTCTTCCTGGCACTTGGCTTCCAGTCTACCTTTTAGAAACTCTTATGATGCACCTCTCATTCTACCTGCTTTAGACCCTCTGTTAATACTTAAACATTGTCTGGATTCTCACCCCACTCATCACCAGCCCATGTTTCCCCCCCACCTCTCATCCTGCCCGGCTCTGCTGGTGGAGTCCTTTCCCTAAAGACTGAGACTATTTCAATTTTTTTTAAAGATTTATTTATTTATGCATACAAGAACTGGGGTACAGGCCAGAGGCGTGGAGGGTGAGAGAATTCACCAGAGACAGAGTGGGGAACAGAACAGGCAGACTGACTGAAATACACTGCTGAGGGGAGCAGCGGGGGAGACAGGAGAGGTCTGCTGTCCATGTGGGTAACTCCCTGGCCGGGAATCGAACTCACACTGCAGTGGCTGCGGAGAGCTTCATAGGTTGCGTCTTAACCCCTTGCGCCACCAGGGAGGCCCGAGACTAAGCCTATCTCTATTAAGCCTGTCTAGACTCTGCCCATCTGGATGAGTTTTCCCCCTCCTAAGAACCACTGCAACTTGCTAGTGACTTGTGGGACTGCAATAACCTGAACAGGGGATCATGGTTTCTCTGGCTAGATTTTTGACATTTTTGACACTGGGAGTTGTGACTTAGTTATCTCTGCAACATATCCTCCAATATTCACTGCCCAGCAGGCTGCCTGATAGTTAGTCAGTGATCAATGAATGTGTCTTCAAATGAATCAAATTGAATTGAATTGAATTAAGGTTGAAAGTAAACATGAAATCAAACCTGGATCAAAGCAGAAACACTAATCAAGATAGAGAGCAATTGCCCTGAACTCTTGTCTAGTGATCTCATACTGTCCCCTTCAACTTGCAAACACATGATGCATTAATGGGGGAAAAGTGTTGTCAAATTGGCTGTCATTAGATTTTTCTTAATTGGGCTTCAAAAACTCCACTAACCAAAGAAAAGACAAGCTACACATTAAGAGAAAGTATTTGCAAATCATAAGTATGATAAGACATAACAATTCATTACTACTCAATAATAAAATGACATATAACCTAACTAAAAAATTGACAAAATATTTGACTAGACATTTTTACTAAAGATGAAATACAAGTTAATAAGCTATGGTTAATTAGAGGGGAAGGATTGGGGTCAGAATGGGGCGTTTGCAATTGTATGGGGGAATATAAAAATAAAATTTAATATTTAAAAAAAAAAAATAAAATAAAATAAACAAATAAAAAAAAAAAAAACATTGCACTAGTTCCAAAAAAAAAAAAAAAATAAGCTATGGTTAATTAGCTATTCAGTGATGGTTAATCTCATTAGTCACTAAGAAGATGTAAATTAAAACTAGTGAGAAATCACCACACACTGACTAGAATGACTATCAGTAAAAAAGCAGACAAGAGCAAGTGTTGACAAGGATATGGAGAAATTGGAATCATTGTACATTGCTTGAGAAGGAAAAATAATGCAGCCACTTTGAAAAATAGTCTGGAAGTTCTTAAAAAAAGATAAATATAAAACTATCACTGACCCAGTGATTACATTCCTAGGCATCTACTTAAGAGAAAAGATGAAATATCCATAAAAAGACTTACATACAAATGATAATAGCAACGTTATGCATAATAGCCATTTAAGACAATCTGCATATCCATCAGCTGATGGACATTAAAGAATATGTGGTGTATCTATCTATTGAAGTATTATTCAGCAATAAAAAAGTACTGATATATTCTAGATATGGATGAAGCTTAAAAACATTGTGCTAAATGAAAGAAGTCAGACATGAAAGGCCATGTCATATGATTCCATTCATATGAAATGTCAAGAAAAGGCTTATTTAAAGAGACAGAAATCAGATTAGTGATTGCCTAAGACTGGAAGTGGAGATAGAAATCAACTTTATTTAAGCAAACGGTGTTTTATGGTGTGATGGAAATATTCTGAAATGGGATTGTGGTAAGGGTCACATAATCCTCTAAATTTACTGAAAATCACTGAATTGTACATATAAAATGGGTGAATGTTATGGTATGTAAATGACAGCTCAATAAAGCTGTGAAAGAAATGAGGGAAATGGACTGAATAATTTTGGTTCTTCTTTCTCCCTTCAAATATCTGTACGTTTGCCTTTACCTATGCACGTTTTAATGCAAAAATGCTGTGATAAATTTTTGGCGTTATTGTACAAGGCTTAGAAGCAAGTATGAGCTTCATAATCCCCAATAGTATCTAGCTTTGCAATTACATTTCCCACTTTAAAGGTCACTCAGAACTATGGAGCTGAAATTTACAATGATATGTCTTAGTTAACCAACCTTTATTTCAAGGCTCTGGGAATTCCTTTTTTTTTTTTTATTTACTGTTTTCCTAGTCACAATAGCCCTTAGAAAAGATAAAGGAATGGAGAGAGGTATACATTTATGGGGGAGACAGGTATTCACTGATCAACACAATCCAATGAGGCAAGGGCAGAAAGAGGAACTTGACCAAGGTAGGATTCTGCAAAGGGGGCACCTGCAGGGCACTTAGTGATGACCCCATGAGATAATGTGTCTAGAAAGTGTTTCCTATGAAGTTAAGTGTTCTGTAAAGGTTGGATGGAGCTAGCACAATTGCTGCATGTATTATTACAGTATTATCAAGTTAGACAACAAAAATTCACCTTGTTTTCCATTTGGAATCTTCTCCTGTGATTAAAATATACTTGATATATTTAACAAAAGTGGAAACTTGGAGTAGAAATTTAGAGGAAGAACAACATGTTGTGTAAAAGAACCATCACACTTCAATTGCAACGTACAAACGAAGTTTTCCTTTTTATCAGAAGTAAAAGAAACTTTATAGGGAGAAGCCATCTAATGGTGGCAGAGTCTCATACATTTCTGTATTTAGAAGAACCATAACTAAGTTTAATGAGTGTGTGCTTGGGTTGAGATATATTTTAAATCAAAATGAAGAACACCTGGCCATTGCCCTTATGCATTTTCTCATAGACATAGGTTCTCTGTCATGGACAATACTCTACATAAGCCACTTTTGTGGTTCTAATTTCAATACATACCCAGAATCTGACAACTTCTATCACCTCCACCTACCACGCTGGCTAAGCTTTTATCATCTCTTGAATAGATTATTATAATAGTCTCCTACCTGGTCTTCCTACATTCACTGTTAACACAATAATCTATTCTCAAAACAGTGGCTAGAGTAACCCTTTAAAAATGCAACTCATGCTATGACCTTCCTGTGCTCAAAGCTCTCCTATGGCTTCTGCCTCACTTAGAGTAAAAGATGACATTGTACAATGTCCCCAAGGCTCTCTCCTATGAATCGTCTACACTCATCTCTTTGAATCCCTTTCCAGTGACACAGGCTCTTGGCTGCCCCTTGAACACCCTAGGCATTCCCCCATCTCAGTGGCTTTGCAATTCTATCCCCACCTACAGTATTCTTCTTTCAGCTACACACAAACCTGGGAAGGTTTTCTTCTTCACTCTGTCAATGAAGACTCACCTGATCAGTGTATTTAAAATAGCACCCGAATCACAACATATCCAATTTCACTTCCCTGCTTATTTTTTCTCCATGCCATTTATCATACACACACACACAAACTGTACTAGGGGCTAGAGATTGTCTCAATAGAGATTTTTTTCCTTCCCATGCCAGTCTTGCACATTTCTTATTGGTGTCAACCTTAGCTATTTTTAAAGGACTGTGTGTGTGTGTGTGTGTGCATGTGTGTGTATGCACACCTAAGAGGTTAAGTCATTTTAAGAGAGGTCTATAAGCACTGCAAATGTCAACCTCCTTTCAGGAAAAAAACAACTGGATAAATATAGGACCAGTTAGCACAGATGACCTTGATTTGATGACCTTTTCTAAACTAGTACTAAACTAAAAACAGTTAAAGTTTTCTGACTCTACCACTCACTAGCTTTGTTTGACATGCTGAATTAGTCACTTTACCTTCCTAGAACTGGTATCTAAAATGGGATAATCCTGGTCAATGCAATAAGACACAAAGTAGAAGAGATATACATTTTAGGGAGGAAAGCCATTTATCATCATTTGTAAATAATATGACTATGACCTAATACAGTGAAGAAAATCAACTGAAATACTTTTAAAATTAATTAAAGAATTCAGTAAAGTGATTTGCTGGAAGATAGAGATAAATAAACTATACACAATGAAAAACAAGCTAAAAGATATATTGGAAAAAATCCTTTAAGAACAGAGTCCTTTAAAAATAGCTAAGGATGACACAAATAAAAAATGTACAGGACTGTCATGGGAAGGAAAAAAATCTCTACTGAGTGATATAAGACTATCTCTAGCCCCTGGTACAGGACTTGGCAGAGTGGGTGTTAAGTAATTGTTCTACACCAAAGATGAATAAATGGACAGAAATGCTGAAGTCCTGGATGAAAGCATCACATATTGTAAAGATGTCAATTCTTGCCA